GGCGTTACCTTCTTCTACTACTGACCTCATGAGTTGTACGACTGCCCCCGAGTCGAGCTCGTCCTCTTCGACCGATGACCCTAAGTTTGCAAGGGCATCGACCTTACTATTTTGATCTCGAGGTATGTGCTGCAAAGTCCACTCTTTGAACCGATGTAATGTACGTGTAACTTATCTATGTACCTTTGCTTTCGTTCTTCTCTAACTTCGAACGTTCCGTTTACTTGGTTCACTACAAGGAGGGAGTCACACTTAGCTTCGATCACCTCCGCTCCCAAGCTTTTGGCCAGTTCGAGACCTACAATCATGGCCTCATATTCGGCCTCATTGTTATTCAACTTCACAGTTCTAATGGATTGTCTAAATACGTTGCATGTGGGTGGCTTCAGTATGATACCAAGTCCGGACCCTTTTACGTTTGATGCATCGTCCGTATAGAGGGTCCAAATTCTCGAAGACGTCCCTGAGTTTACCAACAACTCTCTTTTGACTTCAGGTATCAGGGTCGGCGTAAAGTCGGCCATGAAATCTGCCAAAATTTGGGATTTAATGGCTGTTCGGGGTTGATATTCAATATTGTAACCGTTGATTTCCACGGCCCATTTGGCCAATCATCCCGATAGTTCGGGTTTATGCATTATATTTCGTAATGGATAGGTTGTCACAAAACATATAGGATGGCACTGAAAATTTGGTTTCAGTTTTCTAGAGGCACTTGGCAAAGCGAGTGCCAATTTTTCTAGGTGAGGATATCTAGTCTCGGCCTCACCCAAGATTCTGCTAACATAATAAATTGGAAATTGCGTACCTTGTTCTTCCCAGACTAGGACTCCACTTACCGCTATTTCCGATGCTGTTAAATACAAGTATAGTTGTTCGTCTTCCCTCTGTGTGTGAAGCAATGGCGGGCTCGACAGATATCGCTTATATTCTTCTAAGGCCCGTTGGCATTCCAGGGTCCATGTGAAGTTGTTTTTCTTCTTCATTAGTGAGAAAAATCAATGACTCTTATCGGAAGACCTCGAGATAAATCGCCCTAGGGCAGCAATGCGCCCGGTTAGCCTTTGTACAGCCTTCACATTATCCACTACCGTGATATCCTCGATGCGTTTGATCTTGTTAGGGTTGATCTCGATTCCTCAATTGGACACCATGAACCCGAGAAATTTACCAGATCTGACTCCGAATGCGCACTTTGCTGGATTCAGCTTCATGTTGTACATCTTTAATATACTGAAGGTTTAGTGCCAATGTTTTAAATGGTCCTATTCTTGCAGGGACTTAACTAACATATCGTCAAATTAAACTTCCATGGATTTTCCAATTTGTTCTTCAAACATTCGGTTTACTAGGCGTTCGCAAGTGGCACCGTTAGTTTTTAATCCAAATGGCATTATGTTATAGCAATATGTGCCATACTTAGTGATGAAGGAGGTCTTTTCTTGATCATCAGGTTCATCCGTATTTGGTTGTACCCGGAGTAGGCATCGAGAAAACTGAGGATCTCGTGGCCGGCCGTGGAATCGATCATGCGATCGATGTTAGGCAAAGGGAAAGAGTCTTTGGGGCATGCCTTACTCAAATCTTTATAATCCATACACATTCTTAGTTTGTTCCCTTTTATAGGGACTACTACTACATTTGCTAACCATTCCGGTTATTTGACCTCCCGGATGGACCCTATTTTAAGGAGTTTAGATACCCCGTCCTTGATGAAGGCATGCTTGATCTCGGACTGGGGTCTCCTTTTCTGCTTGACCGGATGGAATCTCGGGTCCAGGCTCTGTGAGTAGTGATCTCCGGCGGGATCCCTGTCATATCGAGATGGGACCAAGCAAAACAATCCATGTAAGCTATAAGAAATTGAATGAGCTTTTTCCTGAGCTCGGGAGTTATCCCCGTGCCCAGGTATACCTTTCGATCGGGCAGATGTTCAATTAGTACGATCTGCTCCAGCTCTTCGACCGTTGATTTAGTAGCGTCAAAATCATCGGTAACTATAAATGATCGAGGAACCCCGTAAGCATCGCCTTCGTCAGTCCCCACCTCATCCGGTTGGGTTGAGGCTGGCATTGGTGGTTGCTATTTGGTTTCGTGTTTTGCTCTTGAACCTGACACCTTTATCGATGAGAGTGTTGATATCGGAATTACTTCATCAACGGTAAATATCTCCTTTGCGGCGGTATGTTCCCAATAGACCGTCTTGATACCTTCCGGTGTTGGAAATTTTAATACCTGGTGAAGGGTCGAGGGCACAACTCTCATGTTGTGGATCCATGGCCTCCCGAACAGGGGTTAGTACCTTATGTCCCCTTCGACTACATAAAACTTGGTCTCCTGAGTGGTACCGGCTATGTTTACTGGTAACGTTATTTCTCCCTTATTAGTTTCACGAGCCATGTTGAATCCGTTCAACAATCGGGCCGCAGTAATGATTTGGTCCTGTAGGCCGAGTTGCTGTACGACCCTCGATCGAATGATGTTGGCCGAGCTACGTGGATCAATTAGCACAATTTTAACTCGAGTTTTATTCATGACTACAGAAATTACCAGTGCATCATTATGGGGATGCATGATTCCTTCTGCATCCTCATCGTTGAAAGATAAAGTTCCTTCTGGTATGTAATCTTGAGTCCGTTTTTCCATTTTGATTGATACTTTGGTGCGCTTTAACATTGGACCTTTAGGGACATAGACCCCTCTGATGATCATATGAATGACGTGTTGAGGTTTGTCTTGTTCATTTTGTTTGTTGGAATCCCTGTTTCTGAAATGATTCTTGGCTCGGTCACTCAGAAATTCCCAAAGGTGCCCGTTGTTGAATAACCAGACCACTTCTTCTCTCAATTGTCGATAATCCTCCGTTCTGTGGCCATCTGTGCTATGGTATTTTCATATTTGGTTGGGATCCCTTTGTGATGGATCGATTTGTAAAGGCCGAAGCCACTTGGTATCTTTGATGCATCCGATAGCCGATACGATGGCAGCCGCATCAACATTAAAGTTGTACTCTAATAATCGTGGTGCCTCTTTAGGTCCGATAGGTCTGCCGAAGCCGTTATTGCTCATGAGCCTTGAGAGCTTTGGCTCGATCACTTCTCCTTTCATTTCGTGCAAATTTCACCCAGATCCGCTGCTCCTACGATCTCTGTTATACGACTGATATCGATCTATGTTCAACCTTGATTCTCAGTCAATATACCTCTTGATTCTATCGACGGGCCTGGTTGGATAAACGGACCCAGAAGGTGCCCCAAGTTGATCGTCTTCGATCATGTTCTTTGATTGATACTGATTATGCACATCGGCCTAAGTAACAGCGGGGTATTCTATCGAATTCTGCTTCAACTACTGTGAAGCCACTGAGCTTCGAACATTGAGTCCTTGAGTGAAAGCTTGAATAGCCCAATCATCAGCGACCGGTGGCAAGTCCATCCGTTCCATTTGGAATCGAGACACGAATTCTCCGAGCATTTTGTTGTCCTTCTGCCTTACCTTGGAAAGGTCCGACTTCCTAGTTTCGACCTTGATTGCCCCGCAATGTGCCTTTACGAAAGAATCTGCAAGCATAACAAATGAGTTAATAGAATTCGGTGGTAAATTATGGTACCATATCATAACTCCCTTTGACAGGGTCTCCCCGAATTTCTTTAGCAAGACAGATTGGATCTCGTCATCCTATAGATCATTCCCTTTGATAGCACACGTGTAGGAGCTGATGTGCTCGTCTGAATCGGTCGTTCCATTATACTTAGGAATATTGGACATGTGGAACTTCTTAGGTATCGACTTTGGAGCCGCGCTCGGGGGGAAAGGTTTTTGCACGAACTTTTTGGAATCCAGTCCCTTCAATATTGGCGGAGCCCCCGGGATTTGATCGACCTTGGAGTTGTAAGTTTCCACCTTTTTGTTGTTTGCCTCGATCTTCTTTTCCCCCGACTCAAGTCGTTTTGTCAGTTCTTCGAGCATCTTCATGATTGCAGGATTGGTCTCCGATTCTTTCTCGCTCGATTTCTTTGAAACTGATTCGACCCTATGTACAACTTCCTGGGACGGCTCGAGCTCGACCCTACTCAGCGGGTGATTCTGATTTTGGAGCTGGGCTATCGCTGCCTGCTGAGCCTACAACATTTCAAAGACCACCTGCAGTCTGATCCCGCCATCTTCGCCTCCATGTGCGCTTTGAGCGACCGATCGAATATCCCCATGAACGCTACCTTCGGGACCGACGACCAAATTTGCGTTGATGGCTACATGCGAGCTGACGTCGATTGGATCTACAACCAAAACTCCATCGAGGCCAACCGGAGGTACATCGTTCCCTGGTGCTATGTTATCATTTTCGCCATGGTAGCCGAAATCATTGTCAACGTGTAGAGGTGCTGACTGAGAGTTTGACATTTTGGTCCTGGAATCAAAGAATACTTCAAAGAATAAGTGTAAAATAATGTGTGTTATGAAAGTTTGTACTAGGTAATCACTATTTTCCTTAGCCCCACGATGGGCGCTAAACTGTTTACCCAAATTAGATAATTGAATTTGTATGCGGTTTTAAGGATACGGGATATAACTTGATACAAATTAGGAAAACAAATTAATATTGAAATTAACGATAAGAAAATAAATGCAAACCACAAAATTGAACAGCCTTAGCTTCTGAGTTTGGTCACCCTCGAGCCAAGAAATGTCTCGACTAGTATTAGAACTTGGCAACAAGATGATAAAACTAGAAATGATCAGTGTATTGCTTTCTTTGCATGTTACAATGTGTCCTACAAATGATCAGAACCCCCCTTTATATAGTGAAGGTGTTCTACTTTTGGTACAATTCTATTCAAGGTAAAAAATCTCATGATATGCTAATTAATCGGCTTCTTCTTGATACATGCCGAGATTTCCGCCGTGATCCTCGACCGATTGCGGATATTTTGGCTTTCCGTTATTTGGCTCGTAAGTTTCCCTCGATCTTGCTCGGTCTCGATCTTGTTTGGTCTCGATCTTGCTCGATCTCGATCTTGTTCGGTCTCTGGGTCACGAGCTCGACGCTACTTTTGTGCCTTGGTTCGATATAACCCAAGCTCGAGCTTTGACCTGCCATATTTCATCCTCGAGTGGACAAACAATGGACGAAGCTAGTTTCGACCGTATACAATATAGTACTCCATTGACCGTCGGGCCACGATTTATTGGTACTCAAGAACATTGGAATTTAGAGAGTTTGGATGATTTGATTTTTGACGAAGAAATAATGTGACACTTGAATAAGAAGTTAATCCTTCCCAACGCTTCATCCAATTGACACTCCCACATCATGCTACACTTGATTTTTAGCTCCTATAATGTCCGTTCTTAGCCCTGCCGTTCACAAAACTAATGATGTCTTGCCTTGTTTTGCATTTCCTGCCTAAGACCTGACTAAATGATAAGGAATAATTACACCAGTGAATAGAGTTGGAGAAAATATTTCAATGGAAAATATTTTACTTTTGGAAAATAATTTTTCGATCATTTTCCTGCGTTTGGCACGTAATAATCGTACAAGGTGTAATATATGATAGATAATAAGCATGGTAAAGTGAAGACATTTTGAGGCTAAAATATGACAATAATTTCTACATGTGTTATAGAATGAGAATTTTCATAATTACTTAAGGATTTGAAAAATATTCCATAATATACAACCTCGTTTTGAATTACAAATTGTACAACATATATATTATATATATAATCTAAAAATAAGGTAATATCCCCTATTTAAGGTGAATGTCATCAGATCCTTAACGTATGGAACTTTTCTAGGATATTTGGTAAGCGTATATTTAGGTATTTAGACCCTAAATATTCTCTAATTTGTGAGTTATTAATTATCAATATAAACTTATTAGGTTACCACTATCTCTGATATGTTTGTCAAATATATGACGCGGAGGAGAGGAACAATCAACATAAGTGTTGAATCTTTTAATATAAGTTTCATCAAATACCTCCCTTTCCATCAGCAACTCTTTCTCCTTCACATTCAGCTCCCCCCTCGAATTAGTCTGCTCATTCATATTCTCTTTCTTATTACATTTTTCTTTCACATCTTCAATCACATTCTCATTCCCGGTTGCATCTTCATCCACCTTCTCATTCCGCATCACCTTATCAGTTGTATCCCTTGTATTCTCCTTCTCCGGCCCATTCGCGAGAAATAACACATCCTTTATCATAATTTCCTTCTCCAATTCAGTAGGAGAAATATTCTTCAAGTACAACTAAAAAAGGAGAGAGCAAAATTTATATCATAAATAATATACAACAACTAATCACAAATTAATTCTAAAAAAGCTATGTGAAATAGGAGACATCATACTCACTCAGATATGTAGTATTGTATAGTTATATACCATACTGTAATATATGTATATGTTATATAATATATTATATACAATATTTACTAATAGTATACCTCAGATACATATCAATAATAACAATGGAAAAATATACCTTATCAGTTCTCATCTTCGCAATGTGCTTTGAAACTAGGCTATACCTTGGTTTGTATTCAACCTTCCATCCCAACATACGAGGTATTCTTTCTTCCAATCGATGAGCAATTATGAAATCAAAAAGAGATATTTCTCAGTGAGAGAATATCAAGGAGAGATTTTAGGAATTAAAAAGTTGTATGATTCTAAAATAAGTTGTACTAAAAGTAATTTTATTAAAGCAGTTGTAGAAAATATAAATAAGTCTTTAAAGAGTTGTATTCTATGTAAATTCCTCTTATAGAATGGGGACATTTGCGAAGGACGCTTTCGCCCAAAAGGGAGTAGATCATTTTCCTCCATTTGGTGGGAATATTTTTTTTGAAAAAAGAAAAATTCATGCATCTTTAAGGTAACAAAAACACTGAAAAATGACCTCAACAAGGAAAAGATTTTCTTTTTGGTAGAAATATTCGAAACAAACCCAATATCTCATGTTTTCCAAGTAAAATAATTTAACATAGAGATCTTCACAGCTTGTTTGGATGGTTGTTACATATCGTTTCATAATGTATCGTATTGTACTGTATTGTATTGTTTGATAAATACAATGTTTGGATAGATTGTGTCGTTTGCCATCGTTTCATGATATCTCGCATCAGCAATATGAAGAATAAACTTGCAATATTATAAAGAAAAATTATGATACAGAGTAAAATTATTTTATAAAATGGTATGGTAAATGATAAAATAAAATTATTTAATAATAATGAAATGTGAGATTGAGAGAAAAAGACAAGGTAACGACGCGACCACAGCAAATCGGTCGTTACATAAAGTGACACATTTCGTCGTTACGTAACGACGAATTTAACGATACGATACAATAAAATTTAAGTTACAATCAAAACAAACATCGTATTTAATGTAACAATACGATACAATACAATGGGTAACAACCATCCAAACAAGCTGTCAGAGTAGACGATTCGAAATTTGTATTATACAAAAAAAAAAAGGACCTTTACACAAATAGCAGGACCAATTTATCATTTACTTTTTCTAGCCGATATACATAAATTGGGGACTGATTATACACAGTTATGTATAGGGTAAAATATGCTATGTTAAGTAATTGCATAAGAGGGTGACACATGGCACCGAAGGCAGAGGATAGTTAAGACCGAAGACAACTGTTCTGTTTATTACCGGAAGGAATGACACTCGTAAAGATGCAATAAATACCCGCCGCCTGGTAGCATTTAATAGAGAATATTTCACAACATTTGGTGCACTGCCCGTTACAAGAAAATTGGCATTTATGCTCACCATTACACCTTTTTCAATGGCCCTCATGATTGACATTAAAGGACATGATTCTAGGACCTTATTTCCTAGGTGCAACTATAAATAGTGAGCTCTGTTATCATTGTAAGGATCACGACTTTTTCTGGGAAATTTATGATATAATCGATTCAAAGCTTTATACAATTTTATCTTCTTATTCCTTGATTTCATTACTGTTGTGCTCGGAAGCTCTGCTCCCGAAATTACTATTTCTATGATTTTATCTTCACTTCAAGGCTAAGTATTGCGTGTTCATCAATTATTTTATTATTTTAGGATCGAATTAGTTCAGTTGTCTATAAACCAAGTATAAATTCAATTATACCATTTTACCGGTAAATAATTTGGCGCCCAGTAATTAAGTTGATCCTTGTCACTACTAGAAATTAAGCCTATGGCAACCCTTCCAAAACCGTGGCAATAGATATATTAACCGTCCCTGTATGGATACTGACACTAATTTGGAACCGTTTCGGGATCTAGCGTTACAATAAGTCAATTGGAACGGTTATTTGTAACGGTTTCAAAACCGTCTCCATAGAGGGATATTGTAACGGTTATGGAACTACTACCATTGTTCCATCTATGGGAACGATTTTCGGTATTGGAGCGGTTATAAACTATTGTGGTACCATTATACCAGAGATTTTCTTAGTCTATTGCGACGTTTTCCATGATATATTGCAACGGTTTTGTGATATGTTGGAACAATTATCATTATCCTTCTAAATTTTAATGATCTTTTCTACTCTAAATGGTTTTGCTCCTGAGCTTTCAAGGATATTTTTGAAAATATGTAAGTGGAAGCTTTTGTTTAAGTTTGAAGCTGAAGGCCCGGAGACTTTGCAAAGCAGTGACTGGTAATTTTGTACTTATTAATGAACAACTACAAATTCACACAAAACAATATAAATCAACCATAAATTTCCTTCACTTCACAACTAGGACAACACATTAAGATCCACAGTGAAGAACACATACAGATTCTATTTGTGTTATAACCAAAACAGTCAACTAGTTCTTCAAGAATGATATTTTTAGCGATCTTTTTATCTATTAATTAAATCAAGAGAAGTAGCGAACCTTAAGTAGAAACTACAAATTACCAATTCCGCAAAAGAAAGGGACAATGGGATAGACCCAAAATTAGAAAAACAAAGGAGATAGTAGTATAGTACCTTTGAGATAATCTTGAATCCAAAACTATGCAAATGGCCAACAGGTAACCTCTGTAAAATGCCCTTAGTTGCAGATTCTTGCACTACTGGTTGTGCCTGTTTGCTACCAAAATGCCTTAGCACAAATTCGATAGCATTTGATTCCACTATAGCCAATGATGTTGTACATAAAAATATACAATAAACTACAAGTTAGAAACATGACTTTTTAAATTTACCATAAAGTCCCCGGCCATAATGTCCAAAAAATGCTCCTTTCAGTATTACTTTCTATTAGGCTCCATGTAACTGTAACTAGGATTTAGGAACAAGCAAATCCCCATGATTCCAAACTAATCGATTACAAATCAGAGAAACCAAATATGATTGAGAAGATATCTAAGCTCAATAAAACTTATATGAATGAAGTGAAAAGGTAAATCACACCATTTCAACATATAAAAAGGACCATTTCAAGCCTCCTTGTTCAAATCTGAGAAAAATAAAGTTAAACCAGACATTACCCCCAATAGATAGAACTCATCTTTTCTCTTTGTCATATACTCATAATAAGTGTACATTTTTTAATCTTTCAAAGTTTAAAAAAGCATCAAGGTAAACTTCGACTTTGACAAATCATGAAACCTTCAGTAGAAATTGCAATATGCAATTCTAATTTCTATTTCTAGATGATTAATGACATATTCCAGTTCCAAAAAAAGGAACTACTCTTGGATTTATTCCGAATGAAAAGATGATATAGCCACCAACTAAATAATTCAAAGACTAAAACGAGTACAACTTCCAAATGAACTATAACTAATAATATCTTATTTGGTCAACCACGAATAAAATAAGGTCACTAAAGCTTAATATTCGTCAATATCTCTTCTTCCTAATAGATTAACATATAAAGAGAACAGAGCATCAAGATTGCATTCAGGCTTACATATCAATATTTGTAAATCGAGATACATTCAAGGAAAAAAATAAGATTTGAGTAACCACTGCTATTGGGTCGGCATTTCGTCGAATAGTTAATATGCATGACATATTTGAGTAAGCACAATTTTAGCATACAACCAAGCAAATAACTCACTCACAGAAAATTGGGTATTCAAAATCGTTTTACACACGGAGTAGGAAGAGATAATCCAGTAAGTCTACTAACTATTTAGATGAGAAAAAATTGAACAAATTAGGAGAAACCCCCAAAACCCCAAAAAGAAAACTGCAGTAAATATGAAAATCACTAACCCGAAAGGAGCTAAATGTGAAATGGGTTTGGCTTTGATCAATAATAGACCTAGTTGTGCAAGAAACTAATGAGTTCTTTGGCAGCCCAGATCGGCGATCTTTACCAGCGAAATGGGACCTAGCGATAGAAGAAAAAGGTATGTTCTTTAGAAGTCCAAATTTGTGACCTCTAAAGGCAGAATATACCTCCATATTGTCGCTTCAAAACGATGGATTCTTCTTTAGGAGTGTTATATCAAGATGCTATAATTTGGATTCAACTATCGATTTGGACTTAGCAACAAAAGGTCTTAGAGTACTACTTTGTCTCTCATCAGGCTTAGAAATATTAGCAACTAAAAAGAAAAAATAACTCCACTCAAAAGGTTGGGGTTTTGCGAAAAATAGAAGCCGGAAAATAAGGAAGGAATCTGAACCATCCCAATAGATTTTATTTTAAGATAACCGTTTTCATAGATATACCTATTGTGACGGTTTTGAAAACCGTGGCTGTAGAAAAGACTAATGGAACGGTTCTAACATTACTGCAACGGTTTACTTACAAAAATGTCTCAACAGGATCCTTACCCTACGCAATGGTTACAAGTGTTGCAATAGACCATCTATAGCAACGGTTATATCAACCGTTGCCAACAAACTGTTCCCATAGGCCCAATTTCTAGTAGTGAATTGCCTTTTTTACTAACGTGTTTTGATTATTTGTCTTAGAAAATGATCACAGAAAATAGCAGATAATGGTGTTAACAACATAAACAATCTTGAGGCTCACGGAGACCAGCCTCATCATGAGGATTCAGTCAGTGACACCCACAATGAGGGAAACGGTGGCACGCCGGTCCATGACAGGCGGTATCCGCGACATGTTCGGGAGGCAACTCCCGATGATGCTGAAGAGGAGCATGTTGTTGATGCGGTAAGGGTCTTACAAGAGCAACAAGTGATCATTCTAGGCCACCTCACACGGCAGGATAAGGTTATGACGAAGTTGAAGTAGGCGTTATCAGGGGATTCCAATAACGCGAATAGACAAGGTCCAGTGCCTCCCGACGCTCTTTCAAATCAAACAACGTAGAGGGTCAACAACACCACCCCCAGGGGCGAGGTTGAGCAGATTCGATCCCAACAACGAGAATGATCCCTTCAAGAGAAAACTCCTATGGTTCATGATGGAAGTGAACGCCTGCATGGACTAAATCTCGGGCACACCACCGGTGTTGAAAGGGCCAGACTCGAAGAAGTATACTTAGTTGCCATACAAACCGAGCGCGACACCAGAATGAATCCTGAAGCAGGTTAAAATGCCCGACGTGCCAAAGTATGATGGAACTTCAGATCCTCAGGAGCATATTACCACCTATACAACAACGGTTAAGGGGAATGATTTAGCTCTCCACGAGATTGAATCTATTTTGCTGAAGAAATTTGGAGAGACTCTCACAAGGGGATCTTTGACGTGGTATTTGCTGTTACCCGAGCATTCCATAAATTCCTTTGAGATGCTCACAGACTCTTTTATTAAGGCTCATGCCGGTGCCAGAAAGGTGCAGGCTCGAAAGCCTAACATATTCAGAATTGCACAAGGAGAGTTTGAATTGCTGCGAGAATTCGTCACTCAGTTCCAGAAGGAGAGGATGTTGCTCCCGGTTGTTCCGGATGAATGGGCAGATGAAGCATTCACCAAGGGTCTGAATCCTAGAAGTTTAGACGCTTCCCAGAAATTGAAGGAAAGCTTGCTCGAGTTCCAAGTAATGACTTAGGCGGATGTCCACAACCGGTACGAATAAGATAAGGATTGAAGATGATCAGATTGGCTTCTTGTCTTCGACAAAGGGACGAGAGAAGAATAAAGAAAAATCAAAAGACAATTTCGACACAGATAGACGATCTTCGAGGGGCCAGTTTCTAACTTACGAACGGGATGAATGACACAATAGAGGTTTTCGGTCGGCAGGCAGGTTCTTTATCGATAGAAGAACTGATCGCAGTTGAAACAATAGATCATTGCAGGATAAAGAAACATCAGATACACGGGATCCTTCCTACCCCAGGCTATCAGAATACAACTTCAACTTCAGTGTAGTAGAGTTGGTATCAGCTATAAGGATCATTAAAGAAGCACGATTCTCGAAGCCGAGGAGGTTCAAGCCCAGCCAGAGGGATCCCAATTTGTGGTGCAAGTATTATGGAACGGATGGCCACCGGACTGGGGACTGCCAACATCTGCGTGAAGAAGTGGCGACACTATTGAAGAACGGACATCTCAGAGAATTCTTAAGTGACCGGGCCAAGAATAATTACGGTCGCAACTGTGATAACGCAAAACCATCAAAAGGAGGGGATTATCCCCCATGCCAGACGATCAACATGATCTTCGGGGAGGGGGGGGGGGGAACGAGATCAATAGAGTCACCTTCTCGCAGCAAAAAAGATGAAGATATCAATAACCCATAGCAAGAGACTTCGGGAAGTTTCTCAACACGACATCAATTTCACGGAGGAGGACGTAGACGGATTGTTTCTACCATACGACGATGCAATGGTAATTCCTTTAAATGTATTAGATTTTAAAATCACACGTGTTCCAGTGAATGCAGGATGTTTCGCCAATATCATACAATGGAGGGTACTGGAAAAAGCCAAACTCACCAAAAGAATAATTCCGGCTATAAAACGCGTCATCGGATTCAACCTCGCAAGTGTGACAACCCGAGGAGAGATCTTGCTGCCCACGTACGCCGAATAAGTGATGAAAATTACCCTTTTTGAAGTGGTGGACGGTGATATGTGATATAATATTATTTTGAGAAGACCATGGTTGCATGAGAAGAGAGCTGGACCATCAACGTATCATCAGTTGCTTAAATTCCCAATGCCGAAGGAAGCAAACAAATAAGGGAGACCAACCGGCAGCAAGAAGATGAATGCAATTTCGGTCTCCAGTAGTAAAGGGAAGGAGCACATGGCATAGCAACTACAACAACCTGTGCCGGCTCTCAAATCGAATGAAGTTAGATAGGGGGAAAAAGCGTCAAACTCTTATCAGGTGCCGAGATATTTCCCGGTACCAGAAGAGACGGATGCAATAAAATCCATAGCGGAAGAGCTTGAACAAGTTGCATTGTTAGAAAAGTTCTGTGAAAGAAAATTCCACTTGGGGACAGGACTACACCCCGAGCTCAGGTCTAGCTTTATTGAATTTCTTGAATATAATGTTGATATTTTGCGTGGTCTCATGCATACATGATAGGTATATGACGACGTCCACAACACACCTCGATAAGAGATATGATACGGTCATATGCAATATAAATTACCAACTATGAGTCGGGGTTGAATCCACAGGGAGTTATAAGGGGTGTTATGAGTATATACTAGAAGAAAGAGAATGGATTAACTAAATTTGCACTTCCACAATGAGTTTTCATTTCTATTTCTACTATTACTCTAAAAATTGTAAGTTATGTAAAATAAACTAGAAATGAACGATTGTTTTTGTTTTTTTCCAAATAGTTTAAAAGCCTAGGGATGTGACCATAACCTAGGTGTTCGCCTAATGGGACAAAGACGTTAATACTTATTTTGTTGATTGAGCTGTATTATAGCTCTCAACTCTACATTACCCACTCAATACCTCTCGGTCAAAAAATTGTTTTGCCCAATTTGGCTTTCTCAAGTACAAATGGGTATCAAACAAAATAGTTGATATGAGCTCAAGTTAGGTTCTTACTATCTCTAGTTTGAATCCTTTAATTAGGCCAATCAAACTTAGTCCAATTCCTTGTTAGCCAAGTTATCTTAGACTAGGTCTCTCTTTCTCAAGTAGAGACTAAGTCAAAAAGGCATGGATGAAATGTTTGCAACCATTAATTCTAAAGTTGAAGCATAAACTAAGCTAAATAATAAACACCCAATCATAAACAAGCATTATATTAAATACCCAAAAGGTTTATACACTAGGGTTGAATCACAACCCTAGTAAGAATCTAGCTACTCATAATGGAAATTGAAGAAAATAAAGAAGAAAAGATAATTAAAATCATAATAAAATATTAAAATGATAAAATATAATGATAAAACACTGAAATAATCACCAACTTCCTAAACTAGCAAAAGGTAACGGCTACCACAGCTTTTTCTTCAAAACTTGATCTAAAATTATGAAACTCGTCTATTTATAGTAGGCCAAAATTTGCTGACAAATAGCCTTCTTCTCCCTTGCGGATCTATTACAACTAGCGATTCTGATAAACATTATTATAGAAATTGGGGCTAATTCAATAGAAATCGGTCGTACCTAGCCTCGATTCACGTCGCAAACATTGTCCAATGATTCATGAAAACATGCAAAGAGCAGAGTTGGCGCATCTGATCTTTCTTCTTCAGTGCCAGGCATAAAGAGCTAGCGCTAAGAGCAGGGGATGAATCTTTATCGACTTCCTTTTGAATAACTTGGATAACATCTTTATGGACATCTGAGAGAGGTTCTTTCTACTAGTGCTCCTCCTCCTGCTAATGCTAGTGCAACTTTGAAAGTTGTTAAAGCAAAGATTCGATACCTCTTTTATTATTAATTAATAATTGACATTCTCTGATCGCCTAATCTCGTAATACATGGCTGCCCCCCGGGAGGTTCTGTGGCCGCACAATTCCATGTGCGGTCCGCAGATTTCTTCAGTTGACAAGAGCTTGGATTCTGTAGTCGTATATTTCTGGATTGCGGCTGCGAAGCAACTTCTGCGGCCGCACAATTCTTGTGCGGTCCACACTTCAGCAAGGCTCCAGGACTTGGTCTTTTGCACACTCTCTGATCTTGGAATCATTTGTTAGTGCATACCCTGTTTTACGGTCACACAATTCATGTGCCACATTGGTCAAAATCTTGTTGGGTTCTTTCGCTTGGTTTGCGGCCGCAGATGGAATTCTGCGGTCCGCAATTTCTTCTGCGGCCACAGTAATCCTTCTGCGGATCGTTATCCTTTGCTTCTGCGCCCTTTATTGCCTTGTGCTTCGGAACACTCCTTTTTGAGTCGGATTTCATCATGTGAGCCCAAACTTCCAACGTTCCTGCAATTTGCACAATTTCATTAGTTTCAGGAATATTAATAAATACTTTCGGACTAAAACAAAAGAACAAAGGTGCTAATAAGTAGTCAAAATCCCCACTTATAAACTCCCACAAACTTAAGTCTTTGCTTGTCCTCATGCAAATGAATTAGTTCCCACCTCCTAAAGTTAATTTTCATTTCAGCGAGTCACAAGTGAGCCATTCACACAACAGTTGGGACCAATAATTACCCAGACTACTCATGTATTATCAACAAGGAGACAAGTCAAATAGTCATGTACATATAGCTCTAATGTGACATTCGAGCTTCAAGAATTGACTTTACTCATCAAGGACTCTTGTTCTATCATGCAGGACATGATGGACTCCAAACTCTTCCTCCTCTACTTTCCATTTACCAAGCTCACATAAGAAATTTGCACTCAATCGGAAGATTCTTGAAAGGCTCACACATCTCTCACAAGAGAATGTCACAAGTACGACTTCAAGTACCATAGGCTTGACCCTCATGTAGATTTCCAGTAATGTAAGCTCACTCGATTTGAGACAGGACTTCTGTTGGGATATAATGAAAGCTTTTGGGTTAGGGTAGGATACCGTATGGGTAAGTGGTTACACCTTTCTTTAAGCACTCTATCTTTCATTTCTCGGCTCACAATTTCCAGTTCTTAGAGGCACTTTCTTTTCATTGGGGGACTAGAGAGACTTAACATCACTATTTCTTGTTCATTTCATTCTTTTTCTACCTTTTTGATTTCTCAATGCTTGGGATCATTACCTCTTTTTGAATCCATTCAACCTTTCCACTTATTCACATTTTGCATTTTTCTTTTTGTTCCTTTCTTTTCTTGCCTTCTCTTTTATAGAGATTATTTCTTTTCTCTTTTTGTACCTTGATACTCTCCCCCAAACTTATGTTTTAGGCCATTTGTTTCACAAGAGTGTTAAGGAAAGTTCGGGTGCCAAGAGAAGGTCATGAAAAAACGAGTAAAGGCTTATAACATGGTTATCAAATGAGAAAGGCTAGAGGCTCAAAGGGGTTGACTAGGGATAATGACACTGGTGGGGAATAGAAAGTTCAACCGTGCAAGGAAAGCCTACAATAACTTCTTAAACCAAACAAAAACTTAGGATTTCGCCTTGAAACACATTCGGGGCAAGTTATAGACCCTTCGCATGGATACTTGGACTAGAAACAATTCATCTCAGCCTTCACGCAATTAAATTGTAAAAGAGGATAGAGTCGAGAACCTACAAGTTTAAAGATCACTATAGTCCAATTAAACCATTCGATGATTACCAAAGTCAACTAAAGAGTCACAAAGTCACTAACTAGAGCTATTTCTTTTCAAAACCTTGTCTCAACCATAAGCACGTAGTTAAGAGTGTTGGTACCAAATGAAGCATGGTTGACTCTTCGAGCATGACTTAATTAGGTCTTTTATTCTTTACTACTATTATTATTACCTAAACACAAAAAAATATACTCATTCCTTAAGAAGGTTATCACGCCATTCATCGTTGGGACAAGTCACCCGATTCACACAACAATTACCTTTGGAAAGAATCGTGGCGTTAAGAAACCAAAGGCTTATTATCTACTAAAACATAAAAAGAAGCTACTTAACAAAAAAAGAACTAATATGGAAAAGATAAAGGAGCTAGTAAGCAAAAACAAAGATAAAGATGCTAATGAGCAAAACTACTAAAGATAGAATAAATATACATAGTAAGAGAGAGAAAGGATAGTTAAATACAAATAAGAAAAAGAAAAAGTATCATCAAATTATTACATGCCAAATTAATCAAATTGTACCAAATGTGTCAAATAAACTCCACACCCCCCCCCCCCCCCGAAAAAAGTAAGCATTGTCCCCAATGCTTAGCAAAATAAGAGTAAAAGAGGAAAGGGTGAAGAAAACTCTCTATGGCTCCTTGGACATCTCTGTGTCCCCAGCAATGTCATTGCCCTCCGGATCAGCCAACTGGATCTCATCATCCTCAACTCTAGGTGTGGCTGGTTGGCGAACATCTCACACGCTGCCTCAATAGTGTCGGTAACAAGGTCTGGCTCTTCACACTGGCCAGCTGGTGCTACCGATGCAGATAAGGTAGAAGGATCTGGGGAAGACTGGTGTGGGTCAAGCAACATGTCAAAGGGAAGGTCTCCAACTGTAGCAATTCCGTTCACCTCTCTATGGAGCTTATCCACTGACTTCTTACTAGCCTAGGACTCCTAGGACTTCCTCATCTATTTTAATTCCTTTCCCAACTCTTCAATCACCGACATGTGTTGTACCGAGGTAGCCATGATCGTTTTCTGGTTCTCCAAGAGATTCTTCAGTGTCTCATCATTAGTCGAGGGAACCTGAGATGCCTGAGAAGT